CTGTTTTTTGTGACAAACATGTATGTGTTCCGATCACTCTATCACAGAAAAATAAGAGTTGTAGAACTTATTGAAAACTCAAGACAGCCATAACATTATGTTTCTTTACAAGTGTATGTAAACTTTTGACCACAACTGTATGTCTGTTGTTGTAGGGAAATGAGAAAAAAAATTCAGTGTAAGGGTAACTTTTTTGCAGCTCCAAAAGATGCGTTTATTTGTCTCGTCTCATTTTCTTTCCGTTCCTCTGCAGTCAAGGAGACGGTCTGACGTTCCCCACTCGGCTGGTCAACGCAGACGCAGAGCAGGCCTCAGTGACGCTGCATCCCGAGCCCAGCAAAAGGTAACAAATCTGCACATTTAGTTTATCATCACAGCGAGCGGACGGGAGTAAAAGGTTTGTGATTTGCAGCGTGACCGACGTTCCCGTGAGCCCGGAGGGCGAGTCCCAGAACCACCTTCTGAACGACGGGCAGCACGCCAACGACGCCGAGGACGTCCTGGCCGACGAGCCTCAGAAATCAGGTGAGTTGATGCAGCCGTGCTGAAAAATCCCCTCAACATTGGCGGGAAACCAAACTGTGCTTTCTTGTTTGGCTTTGCAGCTGAAAGTGAAACCTTCACAGTCTCCATGGAGAGCTGGTCCTAACCAGGTAATCTTCTCTCCAACCGCCTCCCAGAGCCTCGGATGATTATTTGATGATATTTGGTTCAAAAATTTCACGATGAATTTCTACACGTTTGGTTTTATTTTTTCCTCGTTTGCTGCAGGAGAGACGCCTCAGTCATCTAATGCGATGCCTTAAACAACCCAACCGTTCAGTTTCGTCCATACTGTATCCCCGCAGACCCTTTGGACGTGCAGCCCACCGGCCCGTCGCAGCACAGTCAGGATTTAAAAGCCTTATTTTTTGCATGCAGGACATCACACAATCACTCCCATTCTTCATTTTTTTTATATATGTTTCCACTCCGTTTTTATTTCACTTGTGAAAACCTCTTGTGCCCCAAAAAAGACGTCCCAGGACTTGTTTTTACAGGCACAAAGCAGCCGTGACGATTTGGAGGATATGCTGTCAAATAGAGCATTATTTTTATTACCTTTTTTTTTTTTTTTTTTTAACTTCCAGCTAATGAAGTGGAGATTTGACCGGTTTATTATTAACTTCAAGTTCAAACGTGTGATTTGCACCTTTTTGTTTCGAGTTGGATCTTTTACCACCAAAAACCTGGACTGTGTTGCAGGAGGGACTCTGCTGGTTCAGTGGACTGTCCCTGTCCCCTCAGCACCAGGAGTTTTGGCCGGCAGTGTGGAAAGCAGAGCACAAGATGGCRCCTTTGCACTTTGTTACTTTCAAATATTTATCAAAACATGTGCTTACTTTTTTTTTTAATTATTTGCGTTTTTTTATTTTTTATTTTTACATGTCTAAAAAGTATTTTCGGTAAGACCGATGTGTATTTTAAATTGTGTGTGTGTGTAAGACAGTTGAAATGGCAGTYATTAGCTTCGTTTCTTTCTGTACCAGCTGGTGTTGGAATATGCTGCTCAAACCCAGGAGACATGCGGCGTCACCCTCTCTGCTCGCTCGGCGTCTGATCAGTGATGTCTTACGGCTTGATCTATTTTTTTTCTACAGCTCAACTTTTAACTCAGAGCACTCGTTGCCAAAACAAGGGCTGGGCTGTCAGGAGCTCTGACACCTGAACCTGAAGTGTTTACAGCATCCTAGCTTTACCTGAACTCTCACTGGTGATCATCGTCCTCATCCAGGTGGGCAGTTTTTCCTCTGTCAAGTGTTGTATTACCAGAAGTGGGCAGCAGGTGGCGACAAAACTCCTGGTAGCTGTTCTGACTTGGATGGAGCATCAGGGGTTTGATTCTCTTTTCAATCGGTTCTGTTTGTGTGTTTATCTGCTAGTAACGCATCATGAATCAGTGGATAGATTTGAATGAAACCCAATTCAAAATGGTCGCTACAGCAAATCAGCTTTAACCAAACACAAAAGTGGCTGTGATTTGTCGTGGTAGCTGAGAGTAAAATGATCTTGTGGAAGCGGTGCTCGACATGCATTCCTTTTTAAAATAAAGAATAATAAAAGTGATAACTTCAGTTTTTAAAGCTCCACAACTCAGATTTTCTGTGGAAGTGAACAGAAGCCCTCTGATCAGCTGTGAAGGAGTTGTGGGCTGCAGCTTCTCGTCGTGGCGCCGTGTTGTGAACCRTGGGAAGACCCGCCTCTTCCTCAGCTCGTGTTTAACCGTTACGTCGATCCGTCTCGTGTGCGTGTTGAACATGTGGCCAACTTAAAATCTATTAAGAAATAAAAATACCTGCCGCTGGATCCCACCAGACTCTGATGTCGTTCGTGTTTACAGCTGTTTCTAATGTGCAGGGTGAGCCTGTTGTGATTTTAATTTTATTTTCTATTTGGAAAGAGTTTTCTTTTTGTTACGTCTTTCCCAAATGTGATGATGGTTAAAACTTTAAAACCCGTAACTGGGTTTAGTTTTTTTTTTTTTTTTGTTACAGCACTGGTACACTGTGGTAAAATCTCAAGGTAACAGATTAAAGTTGCAGATAGAGACCATGATCCAAGCCAAGGTGAAGTCCTGATCGTGGATTCTCGGCTGTCGCGGACCCGTTGCCTTGACTCTGTGCCCGCCTGGCTGGTCTTGAGACTAAAGTTTGTGTGTATTTTGTAAAGCTTCATGACCATCTTTCTCTCTCTTTTTTATTTTTTTAATCATGAGGAAAAAGATTCTAACATGCATATAAACTGTTGAGCATGGCGCCTGACTTCTGTACAAGAAAAGGTTTTGCTACAATTATTGGGATTTTGGTGTTTTTTCTTTTTTATATATCTTCAGTTATGCCGTTTTTAAAATGAGCTTTATTCTGTTTAAATGAAGCCATAAAACTCCTGTGAAAGCAGGAAAACAGTCAGAATATGTTTTTTTTTAAGACTGACGCTGCAGCCGTCTTCTCAGTTCCGGCTGCAATCATAACTTGCTACATTTTAGGATTTTTTGTTGGTTTTTCTATTTTACAATGTGTTTCTATATTATGTAAAAAAAACAAACTATACACATATATTTTTCTTGTCTGATTAATTTTCCTGTTTGTGAATGAAGTACATGCTTCTACAGTTACTGTGTCGATAACAATAAATGTTTTTTATATGAACTTGGTTTTGTTTGTAGATGAAACTGCAGATAATTGCTTTATTTGTCAGCAGAGCTGGGGACATTTTCTTTCATGCTGTTTTTTAAAAAAATTTTATTTCATTATTTTTATTTTTTTGAACCAGCCTACAGGCTTTTTTTCCACATACTTGCCACTCTGTGGACACACCAGACCTGTAAACTCAAAACTGCTTCAATCAAAGCCGGCTTCAGACGCTGGAGAAAACTCACTTTTTTATAACTCCACATTTCTCTCACTTTGGAACAGAGATGCCTCCAGGCCACTGTCAACTCAGGTGACGTCACACACAGGAGGTAAAGAAATGTAAAAACAACTCCCTTTTTCAAATCCTGGGTTTTTCCATATTAGGAAATCACACCTGGTATTTAACAGGTTCCTAAATGATCTAAATTTGACCTCAAATGTACACGAACACAGCAAATTCCACTCATTTATTAAAGGAGATGCCTGCACAAACTCAAGACACCCTGTGCCAGATGCAGCAAAGACATAACAGCCTCCATGTTTCACACAGACGGTGTTCTTAAGCTTCGTTTTTACCTCTGAGCATAGAGCTGATGCGTCTTGCCAAAAAGTTGCATTTTAGTCTCATCTGTCCATTGGACATATTCCAGAAGCTTTGTGGCTTGTCAACATGTAGTTTGGCAAATTCCAGTCAGGCTTTTTATGATTTGGTGTTCTCCTTGGTCATCTCCCATTAAATCCAGTTTGGCTCAAACAACGACGGATGGTGCCATCTGAAACTGTTACCATTCGTATTCGCCATCTCTTTGATTTGTCATCAATTTTCCTCCAGTGGCCACGTCCAGGGAGGTTGGCTACAGTCCCATGGGTCTTGCATTTTGGAATATGTGCAAATAGTCACAGGAGCATCAAGCTGCTTGGAGATGGTCTTATAACCTTTACCTTTAACATGCTTGTCTATAATTTACTTTCTAATCTGAGATAATTCCTTCACTTCTTCTGGTCCATGTTGAGTGTGGTACACACCATGTGACCAAACAGCACAGTGAGTATCTGTAGCCCTATACAGGCCCACTGACTGGTTAAAAGATTGTAGACATCTGGACACAAAGATTTAATATGTCCCCTTGAGCACATTATTTTCAGGAGTACCATCATTTCTGCCCAGGCCTGTTTCATGAGTTTTGTTTTTTAAATATTGCTGAAGCATGACTGAAAAGCAATGTCTGACTTTCAGTTGTTCATTTTTATAGAATATTTATTACTTTTGTCAGATTCAAGTTATTTCTGTGATCATTTTGGGTTTTTCTTTCATTAAACGAAGGGTACCAATAATTTTGTCCATGTGTCTGTGTACAGTGCCTGGTCAAATAAAAGGTCATACATTAATATTTGGTTGGACCACCTTTAGCTTGGATTATGGCACACATTCTGTGGCGTTGTTTGGAAAAGCTTCTGCAATGTCTCAAGATTTATTTCCATCCAGTGTTGCATTAATGTTTCATCAAGATCTTGCATTGATGATGGTAGAGTCTGACCTTCTCCAGCACATCCCAAAGATTCTCATTGRACTCTGTGGAGCCAATCCATGTGTGAAAAYGATGCCTCATGCTCCCTGAACCACTCTTTCACAATAAGAGCCCCATGAATCCTGGCATTGTCGTCTTGGACTATGGCCGTGCCATCAGGGAAGAAACAATCCATTGATTGAATGACCTGGTCATTCAGTATATTCAGGTAGTCAGCTTTCAGTCATTCTTTGAGCACAAACTGTTGCTGAACCTAGATCTGACCACCTGCAGCAACCCCACATCAAAGACCTTAGTTAAACCTCCTGAGACCCTGCGTCCTCATATGCGGACTTTGTATTTTTGCCTCTCTACCCATGATGCATCATTTTTTTCAACTTTGACCCATTGTCCTCATTAATAGACACTACCAGCACCCTCTAGTGGTCCCATGACAATATTACACTCAATTGAGTGAAAACAAAATTGGGGGTGGGGATCCCAGTGAAAAGCTACAACTCTGGTAAGGAAAATAGCCAAAGTAAAAATCCAAGTTACATTTCGCACTTATTTATTATGCACAGTTGCATCTTTATCTTTATAAGACATGCAAAAATATTTTCTTTTACAACTGAAGCAAAGTACAATGTTGGTAAAGATAAAGTCCTCATTTGAGGACATTGGGACTATAGTTTTTTATTATTTGTAACAGTTTACAAATGTAAATAGTGTAAGTAGTATATTTTGTCAAATTTTTTGTTGAATCTGGAAATATTTAGAACAGTTCACAAGCGCAAATACTTCTTGCAAGTGATTTGTTCAACCACTTAATTATACCAATGATGTTCAGGTGAAATGGTCTGCGATTTCCTGCAATTACGTCACATAATATGTTCTTCAAACTGAAGAGCAATCTGAAATTTTTGTCGATGATTATGATGATGCACTTCACTAATCTTGCTCTGGTCAACAGCTGGCTGCTGTATTGCCAAAATAACTAGGAAAAGGGAACCACCAGAAAGGCTATCATCTTTTCTCATGTTTTGCATGATAATTGCTTAGGTATTCCTCAAAAAAGCGTATCATTTTGAGACCCAGTGTCCTCATATGAGGACATCTTTTTTTTTTTTTGCAAAAACCACTTCCTGTACCATGACAGGGTCTAGTTATCATACTTTTTGGGTCCTACTAATCCCATGTATCTTAGAGAAAGAAGGGTGTAACTTTTTGAAGGACTGGTGTGGACATGTCCCCACACACTTTGGCCGGACAGGGACAGTCCCCACCAATATTCGCACATCATTTTTCCTTTGCGTGATTCTACATTTTTCCGGGGRAAAAAAAGTAGCTGCACTGCTTCCTCTCTTCCGCCCCCTCCCCCCTCCTGTTAGTGCTTCTCATCCCATACAGGAGCGCTACTGCGAACCTGCGACACCTTCCCCCTCACCCCCTCCCTCCCTTTTCTCTGAACTTCAGAGTCTGAAGTGCAGACACGTACACTCGCGCATGCAGACACGCGTGCGGGCTAGCTGCCTGCTGTAAAACAACGTGGTGGTCAGAGCTTCAGAGCTACTGGAGCAGGTAATGGTCTGATAACATCCAGCTCCTGGAAAAACTTTATTCTTTACAAAGGACCAAAAATAAGTCAAAAAKTAGGACAGGACAGTTATTTTTCTTATGAAAAGTTAGCTTGCTGCTAGTTATCTATCAGCTTAGCAATCCTTTAGTGATGACATTATTATTGAGTTTTTTTTTTAATCAGTTAAACTGTATTTTAATGCAAAAATTGAGTCCAGGTCCACTCTGGTGATATTTATTGATTTCCTGTTATAATTTACATTCATAAGTCACAGATTGTTTCTCTAATTTAATCTGCTATCTTCATAATTTACAAATTATTTTCTTGACTTTTTAAAACTGACTGAATTCAGGTGGCAGTAAAAATATAATACTTAATCTATCTGTTGATGTAGAGCTGGATACAGAGTCAGAGGCAGCAGGTAGAACAGAGTGTCTCAGGTAGATCAGAGGGTCTCAGATAGAACAGTGTCTCAGGTAGAACAGAGGGTCTCAGGTAGAACAGAGGGTCTCAGGTAGAACAGAGGGTCTCAGGTAGAACAGAGTGTCTCAGGTAGATCAGAGGGTCTCAGATAGAACAGAGGGTCTCAGGTAGAACAGAGGGTCTCAGGTAGAACAGAGGGTCTCAGGTAGGACAGACTGTCTCAGGTAGGACAGAGTGTCTCAGGTAGAACAGAGGGTCTAAGGTGGGACAGGGTGTCTCAGGTAGAACAGAGGGTCTCAGGTAGAACAGAGTGTCTCAGGTAGATCAGAGGGTCTCAGATAGAACAGTGTCTCAGGTAGAACAGAGGGTCTCAGGTAGAACAGAGGGTCTCAGGTAGGACAGACTGTCTCAGGTAGGACAGAGTGTCTCAGGTAGAACAGAGGGTCTAAGGTGGGACAGGGTGTCTCAGGTAGGACAGAGTGTCTCAGGTAGGACCGTGTCTCAGGTAGAACAGAGGGTCTCAGGTAGAACAGAGGGTCTAAGGTAGATCAGAGGGTCTCAGGTAGATCAGAGGGTCTCAGATAGAACAGTGTCTCAGGTAGAACAGAGGGTCTCAGGTAGAACAGAGTGTCTCAGGTAGAACAGAGGGTCTCAGGTAGGACAGAGGGTCTCAGGTAGGACAGTGTCTCAGGTAGATCAGAGGGTCTCAGATAGAACAGTGTCTCAGGTAGAACAGAGGGTCTAAGGTGGGACAGAGTGTCTCAGGTAGAACAGAGGGTCTAAGGTGGGACAGGGTGTCTCAGGTAGAACAGAGGGTCTCAGGTAGGACAGAGGGTCTCAGGTAGAACAGAGGGTCTCAGGTAGAACAGAGGGTCTCAGGTAGAACAGAGGGTCTCAGGTAGGACAAGGTGTCTCAGGTATAACAGAGGGTCTCAGGTAGAACAGAGGGTCTCAGGTAGAACAGAGGGTCTCAGGTAGGACAAGGTGTCTCAGGTAGGACAGAGGGTCTCAGGTAGGACAAGTTGTCTCAGGTAGGACAAGGTGTCTCAGGTAGGACAAGGTGTCTCAGGTAGGACAAGTTGTCTCAGGTAGGACAAGTTGTCTCAGGTAGGACAGAGTGTCTCAGGTAGAACAGAGGGTCTCAGGTAGAACAGAGGGTCTCAGGTAGGACAAGGTGTCTCAGGTAGGACAGAGGGTCTCAGGTAGGACAGAGGGTCTCAGGTAGGACAAGGTGTCTCAGGTAGGACAAGGTGTCTCAGGTAGGACAAGTTGTCTCAGGTAGGACAGAGTGTCTCAGGTAAGAGATGAAGGGGATGGGCAGGTGTGAAGGAAATATTATGTTATTTTGAGTACATTCTAGTCAGCTGTGTGAACTTAATGAAATAAATTACAGATATAAAGACATATCTCCAGCATGCTTAACAATTTATTTTATTTTGACCAGTATAAAAGTGATAGGCTTATTTAAATGTAACCTGTATTTGTAGGAAGTGGTAGAAATTAGT